TAGTTTTTTTCACCTGTGGTAAGCACAAAACGAGACCATTTTCGTGAATTGTTTCCCGTTCTTCTCAAGGCAGTGCAGCTGAAAATTCGGCAGCATAAGTTATATGAGAATCGTGTAAATGAAAAAAAAAAAAATGATAAGTCGATTACCTCCATGCGATATCCTGCTCTCGAAGCACACATTGCATGGTAATACGTAGAACACTTGCTACACTGCGTACACGAACCGTGAATTTGTTTGCAGACCACACAAATCTGAAACAAATGTAAAATATTCGAGAGTGAAAACATGTAAAACATGTAAAAGAACGACCCGCGTGTAAAAGAACATCAAAAGTTACCACCTTTACGAAAGAGCTCGATGGGATTCTCAATATGCCGAGCGCAGGTTCCATTTCTTCCTCACTTGCGAACGAAACTTCCGGTTGAAACCAAGCACAAGTGACGTGGACCCACAAAGACGCCACATCAGTAGCCTTGAGTGCACCCCCTGAATGAATCACCCAACGGGTAAAAAATTTGTTAACGAAAAAAGAAAAATCATCATATAACAAATCATCAAGTTCCTTCAGTTCTTAGTGTAAGAAAGTGAGATCACGATATTGCAAGAAAGACGCGTGAGTGAGTTTATATCCAAATCCATGCCTTTCACAGGACACAAGCAACACTGGCGCTCGATATGAGGTGTTTCACAAGCTCGGCAGACCCATGAAGTGAAATCACGAACATGTCTTGCTCCATAACATTCCTGATGAACGGCCATTTGACATCTGCCGGCAAAAAGTAAAAAAAAAAATATCGATTAAAAGAAAAGGAGAGATTCCAGAAAACTAGTAAAAATGCAGACACAAATTTATAAATATTTGTTCATAATGTGAAAAACAGAATCAAGAGGTTTCATCAATAAACCAATATCGATCTATTTGGTGATTAGGGAACAAACACTACATTTTCTAGTCACATAATAACATGAGAGTTTAGATTGAAGAGCAAAAATATGAGATATGGAGCCAAAATACCTAATACAAATGATAATTTTGTTGTTGTCCCAATCCTCGATCCATCGACAAACCGCACACCTCTCTGTTGTCCACTTGGCATGAACAGGTTCATAGGGTTCTATACCATATAAATGGTATTGTATCAATCATCAATGATAAAAACAAACAAATATATAAATAAAACAATTAAAAAAGACAAGTTTGTTCTTAAATGTCAAGAGAAGAGAACCTTGTAAGAAGTTAAGCAACTTCTGCCTCCGCACTTTGATCGAAGGCCGTTTTACAGGTTTAGCGGGAACAAGACTTTGTTCGTGATACTCTGCCATCTGTAGCATCTGTCAGAGAGGAACAAGAAAGGTGTAATCGTTTTCACAATTACTCCATGACTGACAAAAAAAAAGAGATTAAATGAAAAAAAAAAAAAAAATCAGTTTGAAGAAGAAGAACAAACCCATTGTTCGAGGGACAACAAGGAGCCTTTTACCCTCACGCTCGATTTCCAATTTTTAGTTCTTGAACCTGTGTGCCTCTCCCAATCACTCAGTGCCTGCTTTTCGGTTCCACAAGAGCCACATTTGCAAACAACTCTGTACAAAGTTGTGTAATAGATAACAAACATTAACTGCTTTCGGCAGATTAAAAAATAATCCAGATCAAATGTAATTGGAAAAATGAACTAATTTAGCTTACAAATGAAGGCTTGGAAAATAAATCCCTTCCACGCCGGAGCACAAAACTGTAACCTTGTTTGGCAGTGCAGGTTTATTAACATCCTTTTTGCTGTTTCTGCACAATGAAAGATAGTTCTCAGTGATTTTTGAAGCATATATAATATAAATATAAACAGTTTAAAATTCCCATGGGCAGCAAAACTTACTTCGATTTATACTGGCAATTTTCCGAATCGGATAGTTCGAAGTTAAACCGAGCTTTGCATTCGGGACAGTAATAATTACTTGTTCCCAGATCCTAGGAAGACAAATGGGATATTCATTAATATAATCAAGATACTCTATAATAAGACGTTCATTTAAAAAAAAAAAAAAAAAANTAAAAAAAAAAAAAAAAAAGGTTTGTAGTAAATGAACTCAAGCGCACCTTGACGTTGTATTTCGAGAATTTGTCACACTCTGTGTGGACCCAAACTTTACAGCCATTGCAACGAATCTAATTTTTTCGGTAGAAATGTTAGTAACATTATAAAATCAATCATTTATCTTATCTAGAGGGCATCAAAAGAGAACATAGAAACTCCAAATTGATTAGACAAGTGATCTCACCCAAGTTCCTCTGTCTGATTGATTCCGAATCTTTTTACAGATTCCACAATAATGTTTCATTTTCTTCAACTGAAACCAACAGAAAAAAAATGATTTCTTACAAAAAAATTTATAGAAACTATCAACCGAGAATGTTCTCTAGATTTACTTAATGAATGCTAAAGGTAAACCAAGCAACAAACCCTGGCACAAGAAGTACACAAGCGACTGGTGATGGTACCAACATCCGAACTATTTGATTTCTTCGGAAAGTTTGGTACAATGCTCACGCCACAAGCTTCACAAGATTTTGATCCTTGCTTCATATGTACAGCCTGCAAGAAAAGAAGCGATTGAATCTTTCTCTAAATCCATGTCAATAAAGAAAGTATTTCTATATCGCCATGTACTTCATTTACTTTACACGAATCCAGATTTCCAATTTACGAAGAACCCACAATTAAAGTTCGAAACTTTTCCCAAATTAGAACCAGAAAAAAAAAAAGCCGAACTCAATGGCATTTAGAAAAACTAAAGCAGCTGATGTCCTAGCTTACCCGCTCTGCAAAGTTGCAATTTTGATCTCGATTCGAATTGGAAGCCTCAAAGGCCCCTCTCGTAAGAGTACGGAGATAATCCATATTCCCAGCTGCCGCATTAATTTCAACCATCAACATTTCAACAAAACCGTTTTCCGCCAAGAATGCTTCTTCTATGGCAGAACGTAGATCACAGGGCTTGCTATCATTAAGTTCAGTCTGCCCTTGAAACCTAAACCAACAGATTCCCAAAATTATTCTAACTCACATGCTCCTAGTGATCCATTTAGAGGTCAAACAAACAAGAAAAGCCAAAAAAAAAATAAATAAATAAATAAATTGATCCGCAATGAATCAATCACCTGTCCACATAATCTATGAAAGGAAATATCATCCCGCTTTTAATCCACGCGTAATCCTGCTAGCAAAATCAGTACGAGTCCACTCGTTAGTTATTATATTCGGGTTGCGCAACCGAAGAAAACGAAAACAATAAAAGGGAAACTTTTACCCTTTGTGTTCCATTTCCAGAATAACCGAAGAACATGACACAAATGGCACCCGCAACTCGAAAGTTGAAAACTTGTTGAGGAACTTGTGATTCTTGATCGAGCACGATAGCTGGCCAAGCTGGACAGTGCATACCGGACACAGCCCAAACAATTTCAGCTACACCAAATTCACTGGCACTGTAAAACTTATCGACCCCACTTATCTTCAAAAGCTCGTTCGAATCCTCCTCGTCTCTAAATCCGTCATTCATCAGCTCGGCTATCTCATCTTCTGACAAAGGTGAGAATTTGCGGCATTTGTAGCCGTTACTAAACTTCTGGTTCCTCTTTCGGGAAAAGTTCGCTTCCCCATTGATGCCCACAGTTTTGAAGCTCAGCTTGTTATCCTTATCCTTCCCTGGCAGGTAATCTGAGTCGAATTCGGGGTCTTTTGAGGGATTTTTACTGACAACGGTCTTCTCTTTCTTCCAGTTATCTAAAACAGAGTCGTTGAATTTGGATGGCAGCACCTGAACCCTACCCCGGGAAGTCCTCACAAGCGGCGGCCGGGAGACTTCTTTAGGTTTCGATTCAGATTCCTTACACCTCGATTCCAAACTTCCGGCGTCCTCGGCGTCGGCCACGTCATCCCCGCCACGTCCTTCTCCGGCGTCAGCCCCTCCACGCCCGGTCACGACGTCGTCTGCGGCAGCGACCACGGGAAGGACCTTTATTCCGTAGCCGCCGAACGGGATTATCCCGGCCGCCGCCTCGCCGAGGAGATGCAGGGGATAGTAACCGCTTGCGGCCCTGCGCCTCTTCCGATTCGCCGACGATTCCTCGTCGTCCCCGGCCGATTCGACGGCCCGGCACCGTTTCAGAATCGGCATTACCGATTTCAAGCTCCTCTTCACTATCATCCTCCCCCTTCCACCCCAAATCGCCCCCAATTCAAAACCCTAATCACCACCGCGAAAAAATCCCACCAGCCCACGTACAAACTCCACCCAAAAAGTCAAAATCCAACAAAATTTCCCCCAAAAATCGATGCCAATTCGACTCCCATAAGCGACGGCGACAGCCCAAAATAATAAAAAAAATCCGTCCTCTAAAAATTAACCGGCGCTGGTTAGCGACGAGAGGGCCGCGACGCGATTGAATAACTTTCAGAATAGGGATCTCTGTTTCATACAAACTCCCCTCTTTCGAAAGTCGATGAGAGAGAGAGAGATAAAAATATAGACTATAGTACGCATACGACCCACCAAATTGTGTACAACTGTAATTTATACTATTTACTCTGTTTTTATTTACAAAATGGTTGTGTGAGGTAAGATTGGTGCATATAGATACATACAGGCCTAGTGTATGTATATAGATTAGATAAAGAAAGTGTTTCTAGAAATCAATTTTGGTTCAGATATGGCTTTGGGCTTCAAAGACTCCTTTTTCATTTTCATAAGGTTTTTTATTTTCTTTTTTATTTTTCAGAGTGAATTTGTTGCATCTCTGTGTGTTTTCTCCAAGAATCTTGGTGCAAAATATGAAGAATGTGTGTTTGTGTGTGTGTGTCGGTACATATATTCAGCTTTTGTGAAATTGAATTTTACTATTTTACTTAAATTGGGTTGTTTTGATTTTTCTTGATGGTGCTCGAGAAATTGGAGACCACTAAAAATTGGATTTTGATTTTGATTTTATTTTATTTGAAACTTGCTACCCAATTCATGAAGCTCATATTTTTCTACCACGACTCTTTTCCGATTAAGTTTTCTGGCGGATGGCGGTGTGGGGCGGCGGTGGTTCAGCCTCAGCCCGCCGGTGAAAATGGTGGAGCTCACATTATTTACAAGCAACCAAATTTGTTAGTTGATTTGTTGATTTATAATTATAACTGGATTTTGGATCGTTTTCAACTCGTTACATTATTTATTTAATCAATTGTTACATTTCCCGTTGAGTTCTCCGGCGAATGTGTCATAGGAAAGCAATAAACTTTTTCTATGGTTTAGTTTAATAATTTCTTTTACTAATTATTGCTTTCGTAAATTCTTTTTTATTATTTAAATAAAAATGCAGCGACGAAGAAGAGCATGATTTAACCTTATAATTTGTAGCACCGCAATTAATTGGAGTTGAGATGGGCGGTGACGGTGACGTGGGTGGCGGTGGCTCAGCCTTGGGCCGCCGGTGAAAGTTATGACTTATGAGGAACAAAATTTGTTAGTTAATTTGTTGATTTATAATGTTTCACATTTTTCCAATTCGTTACATTATTTTAATTTAATTAATTGATACAATTTTGCAGCAATAATCGGACAGAAAAAAGCTCACGGTTTTTGGGAATGTAAGTTCACGTGTTTTTTTAATTATTAATTTTCGTATTTTCGTTTTTTTTTTTTTCNACAAAAGAAGAAGATGAATTTGGTCACGACAATAATAATTTACAGAAATCATAATAATTAATTAAATACCTGAAAAGTATGACACAGCAATTACAGGTGCCGTCGGCCGGGGACCGGATGGAGGCGGCGGCGGGAGACCGCCGGGGAAAGTGGTGGCTGTGTGCTCGAGATGGTCGCATTTGAGCAAATAGTAAATACGCATGTTTTATTGTTTTAGTAGAATTTATGTGAGAAATATGTTCGTAGATCAAAGGCACAACTTTTAATTAGGTCCCACAACTTTAATATTTTAATTGGAGCAATTAATCTGGGATGGATTGGGCGGCAGCGCCACCGGTTGGCGGCGGCGGTGAATATGGCCGGCGGGAATATCTAAATGCGCAAAAAAGGCACAAATATACACACACTTACACACATTTTTTTTTTTTTTAATTTTTATTTTCTGTTCTTGGATGATTAACAGATAAATTATTTAATTTGTGTAAAGGTATTGTATTTGGACCTCAGGTCCTCTCATGTATCAAGTGTGAAAGCTTGATAATTTTTATTCATTATTGAGAAGCACAAAGAAAAGATGATGAAGTCTTGATAGCTAAAAAATAAAATTAATATTTGTAAAATCTATATCTATATATATATAATTACTAGCTAAGCAATAAATTTTACCTAATAAATAAAACCTAATAAATTTTACCTATGTGGCAAATCAATAATAAAACCTAATAAATAGAACCTTATAAATTTTATTTATGTGGCATTAATACACCCAATCTCATTAATAAGAAAATATTTCATTACATTTTTTAGGTTAATTAAGACAAAAACCATTATATTTTATGTTAATTGATTAATAATTATATTTTTTATTGAATAATATAATAGTTAATATTAAAATTAGTAATTATATTTTATACTAAATAATATATGAAAGTTACATAAAATTATATTTTACACTAAAATCAATATTTTTTTATATGATTAAGATGTTGTTTATTAATAAATTAATTTTGTTTATGTCATAGTAAAATTTCATAAAATCACATAAGCAATTGTTATACTAAATGTAATATTTTTCAGGTAATTAATTAGTCATGATCACTCAAAATTATAAAAAATATATATTTATTGCATTTTATGCAATCAAATATAGTGATTCGTATACAATCAAATCGTGTATACTATTTATTTTAACCAATGATCAAATTTTAAAATATAATACTATTATATAATTTATAATTTTAATATTATATACATAAATATAACTTATAATACTATATGTTTGAAATATAATACAATTATATAACTTATAATTTTTATATTATATACATAAATATAA